GCTTCCGTGTTAGTTCTCCTGGCGCTTCTCCAAACTAGATGTGTGCCAACCACCAATACCCTCTACTGTAGGTAGTACACCAACTATGGATAAGTAGCCCACACAATCCCACCCCAATAGATCCAAACTATACCTTTCGAACTCACTTCTGTTAAAAATGTCCAAGTGCCTCAAAAAACATACATGAAAAAAGAAGAAGAATAAACAGCTCTAAATATGTGTTGTTTCTAAAATAAATTAGGACTCCAAATTGAATGCATTCAGGGTCATATTTCCTCACCACTCACTTTTAATCCATTTCATGTCACTTCATCTGAGGGAACATTAGCAAGCCGACAGTGGCAAAACATGTTTGTCCCTACCACACAATGTGTAGTGATTAACAGGGTGACATTCAAACGTAACTTGTCATTGAAATTCTGTATTTTAATTTGCTGTTGATTATTTATGTGAATTCCCAAGTACATATGAAAATAACTAGCATAGTGAATTACCAGCATTTTTAATCTTATCTAACCAATTGGCAGTACCTCCATGCACCACTAGGTGGCACTCTGAGGCCCAGAACCACTGATATATTTCTTATAGCGGCAAACGAGGTAAAGGACACAGCCTAAAAAATATGAATTTCCATTTTCACCAGGACATTTCTCTGGTGGTTTCTCCACCTGGTGAGACCTGTGTGTCAGAGGCCGAGCAGCTGGCCAATGCACTCCCAGGGCGAGAGATGATGACATCAGTGTGCAACGCCTTGTTGGAGGTTTTGGGGAATTCAGAGAGCAGTGTTCCACTCCTCCTCACCTGTATCAGGACTCTGACATTCCTCACTGAACACGACTATGGACTCTTCCACCTCAAAGTGTAAATGCTCTCTTTCTGTCTCTTGGCATTACGACTGCCTCCCTTTATGATCAGTTCTCCTTCTCCTGTCGGCCTTTTCTTTATCAAACAAGACATTGATGCCTCTTTATCTTTGTTTCAGTGGTCTGAAGAAACATGGTGGTGGTCTGTACACGCTGTTGAAGAGGTTGGTGTTTGCCTTCAACAAGGACTCAGCAGATCTGCTCTCAGCTCTGCTTGACTTCCTCAGACAGATCGTCAACACAGAAACAATGGTCAGTACCTGGTTTTATAGCTACTTCACATTTCACACGGAAGTTAATGCTATGTGTACTGAGAGCGTACATGCTGTCAAAGTAATTGTAGAAATCATAAAATGTTTGTTGGAAGCAGTTTAAACTTGGACATTTGCGACCACTTCAAGTATGAATTCCCAAGCATGTGGGAGGTGCATCTGAATTGCTAATTATGCAAGACTCCTCTTGCCGAGTTGCACATATTATGTGATAGTTGGATTTTATTGTTGTCTGTGTTATAATCCAGTGTGTAGATGAGGCCCAGGGGTCTGGCGAGGAGTCGGCGTTCATTTCTCCACGGTTGCTGTCAGGCTGCGAGATGAAAGGACTACTGCAGTGGGAGGACTCTGACTCCCATCCGCTCCCTACTTTAGAGAAACAGATTACGGTACAAATTTTGCACACCTGTGTATAGTTTTTGCACAGTTAGGGATGATGCTGCCTTGGCATTTAACTGACTCTGTAACTCTGTGCCTGCAGAAACTGTGTAAGGAGGATGATTCACTGGAGACAATGTTGGAGACTGTGATTGTTCTGAGGCAGACACTGGAAACGGCCACAGATGCACCTCCTGCAGTTGAAACTGAGCCCATTCTGCCACCACCGGAGACGCTCGCGGCTCAGTTTAATCACAGGTACGGACCCTGGATGATACAAGATGACTTAGATCAAGATTTTTTTTGTCTTCATTCAATCACCAATCACAAGGAGGTAGTTATTAAAATGACAACATGGTATCAACATGACGTGTATACGCAACAGCTTCCTCCTCAACTAAAACTAAACCTTTTACAAATGATGTACTAAAATGGACTCATGCATTGCTTTTGTGGAAAGTGAAAGGAAACACTGGATGTGACAATAAGTACATCATGCCTCTGTGCTTTGTTATCTGTAGGACAGTGTTCATTCTGTCTGAAACTCTGGATGAGCAGCTGAAGACTCTGTGGTTCTCTCCCTTCCAAACTGATGACATCGAAGCAGATCTCGATATGGTTAGTGTGTATGTGTACATGCGCCTGCAGAACACTCTGGCATGTGGTTGTCATTTTTGTGCCAGAGAAACAAAAAATAACTAAACTGTTTTAAAGTCATTCAGTCCATCATTACACTATCTTTGAATGAGCAATTCAGTCATATAAATGTATGAAGCAACCTTTAATATAACTGAAAAGCATCTTTTTTTGAAAATGAAAAAATAATTGCTTCAAAAGTCTTCCATTAGTTGTTAGTTCTGGCCATTTTCCACAGGAATCCCATGACCCACGCGTTTCCAAAAAATATGTCAGCCTGTAGTCTTTATATTAATGGACACTTTGTCAATAATTGTGACTTTGTCTGTGGGGCAGGTGAAGGTGGATCTGGTGGGTCTGGCTCAGGAGTGTTGTCCAGAACTGGACCTGAAGGCAGAACTGGAGCGCTCCTTCCTGTCCGAGCCCTCCTCTCCTGGTCACACTAAGGCTCCAAAAGGCTTCCGACTGGGCAAACACAAGCACGAGACCTTCATTACATCAAGGTACACTAGCAGTGTTTGGTTGCATTTTAAATTTGTCATATTTGTTCTGTTAGTCTTTGCAGAGAACTTTGACCTTGATTCTTTTTTAAATCAACTGACTGAATGTCATCTCCTTTTCGTCTCTGCAGCGGTAAATCAGACTACATTGAGCCTGCAAAGAGAGCCCACATCATGGCTGCACCTCGTGGCCGCGGAGGTCGAGGAGGGTTTGGACAGAATCTCAACCGACCCCACGATATCTTTCGCCAGCGCAAACAGAACACCTCCCGTCCTCCCAGTATGCACGTGGATGATTTTGTGGCGGCGGAGTTTAAAGACATTACAACTCCCCTTGGACTTTTGCCTCCCAAACGGCCCCCAAAGAACTCCCCCAAACCCCCCACCAGAGGACTGTTCACTGGCAACAGAGGCAGAGGCACCTTCCACAGCCAGACACGATTTTTCACTCCACCACAACCCAAAGGTGTACTGCTCTCCGGTAGGTACAGAGACACACACAGCTGATTTTGATAAAAACCTGTGTTTATGATCTGCTCAATCAGTGTAGTTAAAGGACTTGAAGCCTCAGCTCAGCTCAGATTTTGATGCTGACAGATACTGATCTTTCATAATGCAACTCATTTGTGTGACAGCGCCGTGGGTAATGGCACAAAAACTCGTACTGATGCACGGCAGCAGGAGAAAGCGGACACATTTCAGCCCTGGACTCATTATGCTGTACTGAACTGATGCAGCATGTTAAGGAAAGCCAAGGGCTGAAATGTGTCCACTTTCCCCTGCTGCCATGCATCATTGAAAGTATTACATAATTGTTTGTAAGTGCTGACGACATCATGTGTGATTTTTGGGTAGGCACCCACCGTATTCACTTTTTGACAAACCATTGACATACTGGTCAGTAATTAGTGGTAGTTTTGAATTTGGCCATACTGCAGGTCAGAGCCGTTTTTGGCCAGTAGAGGGAGCTAAATCCTCTGTATTGGTTCTGTAGGTAACTACACACGCAGAGAAGGAGGCCGTGGTTCATCATGGAGTGGCCAAGTTCCAGCTGTCACTCACAGAGGAACCTACAGCGAACCTCGCGGAGGCCAGAGCAACTTCACACGTGGACCGCTGCCCTCCAGACAACCCCCAGCAAGTATGAAGCCTCCACCCACACACACACGGAACTTTATTTTGCACTTTAAATCTCTAAACACTGAACTCAAAATGTCCTCTTCTCTGTTGCCAGGCGCATATAGGCTGGCTCCACGGGACCGAGCCCCGCGGGGAAGAGGAGGCGCTGGACTGTCATGGCTCAGCGGGGGAGGAGGGGGCGGCAGTGCTGGAGGAGGCGGTGGGGGAGGTGGAGGAGGCAGAGGATCTCAGGGGAGCAAATTCAGTGGTGGTGGGGGAGGGAGCGGAGGTGGCAGGGGCAGACACGTTCGCTCCTTCACCAGGTGAATTCACCTGGGCAATGACTGCAGCCTTTCATGGCAACGCACGGACCAATCAGGATATTAAATATACTGTCTCCATGGAAACGTGGTGGGATGATGTTGTCGCGACGACGTACAGACCCTGTGTTGATGTTTTATGTTTTGTTATCATGAGTTGTATTCAGAGAATAAAGGTCATAGTAACTGAGCAGACGCTTTTGTTTTAAAGCACACGTCAGATGTGTTTTAGCAAACAAGCTTTTCTCAGAGCGCTCATCACCTTTATCATACTTAAAAAGTTAAAGGACAGTTAACGTCTCCCTGTCAGCCGTTTAAAAGTGATAATGGACACCTTGTAGGGCATTATCCCTTACTTATTAAGAGTAATGGAATGGAAATGGACTGATTAAAATATAATGGATGCATTTTATATCAAGTTTGGGCGGCTGCACAAAGTGTTTCTTTTTTAAATTGTTATTTTTATGGCTTTTTTGGCTTTTATTAGACAGGACAGGCTGAGCATGAAAGGGTGAGAGAGATGGGATGGCATGCAGCAAAGGGCTGCAGGTTGGAATCAAACCCATGGCCGCTGTGGCAAGGACACGGCCCCCGCACATAGGGCGCCCACTCCACCAGGTGAGCTAGAGGACGTCCCACGAAGTGTTTCTGAGGGCTGCCATTGGTCCACAGGTTATCCTTTGTGTAACTGTGCTTTAGACTCAAAATCCCTCAAAAGATTACACACTAAGTCAAGACACATTTCTCAATGTTTTAGGTTAGCTTAGACTTTAAAAAGAAATTAGATGTTCTTGTGTCACCGAGTTATTGCAGGACTCTCAAAAAACATTTAACAAACATTTTCTAAGCTGAACATGTTACATCAGGTGGATCGCTAACGAGGACACAAGCAATAACATGGGCCTGAAATCATTAAAATTAATCGAAGTGACTATTTAATTGAAACCTGAGGGATACAAAACCAGAGACATTACACGACGATCTGTTTACAGATGAGATCAGTGGTGAGTCTACAAAATTAATGTCTATTCACTTTCATATACGCCTACAGTCAAAACATCACTTGCGTTTGTAGAATTACACAAAAAGACCTTTCAAACACATCATTTGGTTGATTCTACATAAGACTGTTTTTCTCTCAGCTGTTGTTTCACACTGATTTGGTTAAAAAAATCTAAAACTCATCCCAGAAACTACGCAACTTAACTGTTTCGACAATATTTTCATCACTAAACTGTTAGCCAAATGTTACAAAAATAGAGATTCAGTTTTTCCTGGTTTGGCTAATCCCCCAGCAGTCCGATCCACTCAGATGACCGTCACCTCCCGGCTTTTTCTCTTGATGCAGTCCAGAGTCAGGCTCCTGGTACCACCCTTGCGCGTCCCCTCTCCCAGCTGAGGGGACTGAGGTGGACCAGAAACATTCATGACCTGAGCTGAATGCAGTGACAGACTGGAGGCATGTAAAGACGCCTCCCTCTGCTGGTGTCTGGTGAGCTCTGTGTTCAGCTCCCACGCAGATGTCTGCTGGGCTCCCTGATGATGCTGCTCCCTGGGTGCCTGTTCAAAGGGATGCTGATTCCTGGTTGGCTGCAGGTCTCTGAGGAGCTCCAACAGTTCCCTCTTCTCCAGCTCTGCTTCTGCCAGCTCCTGTCGTCTCAGGCGCTCTGCTCCTAACAGGGCACGCATGTCACACATCACACGGGACAGCTGACCCTGCACAGAGAGGACACAGGATGATTGAACACTCATCATCATGCGTCACGGCATACTGGGTCTGTTTGTCTTGAAGCGGAAGAGACCTGTTTGGATTTTTCGGCTCCAAATAAAAACCTCTTGAACATCTGGATCTTAAGCTATCAGACAAAAAAGGGGAGTACACATCAGCAGGTGCTGGGCCAACAGCCCCTCTCCAACATGCCACACATGCAGAGAGCTTTTTGATGCTCAAAATTTCCCCAACCTCCCCAATTTCATATATGTCCCCCTCAATGTTGAAATGAACTCTACGCCCTTGATCTCAAGTAATGTGCAAGTCCCTCAGATCTATACTAATGTTGTTACCTTAAAAACTGAGGAGTTAAATACACGAGAAGGACTGACAGGTCACCTTGAGCTCCTCCACGTCGTTCTTCAGCTGCGACTCTTTCTGAACCATGTGTCTCCTCTGGGAGTCCAGCCGAGACTCCATTTCTCGTCTCACCTCCTCCACCTTGCACAGCATCTCTGCCCTGCCGTAAACATTTAGTGAGACAAAATGATGATCTAAAAAAAACTAATACCAACTGTAGCACTCGTGTCTGTGTTTACCTGAGCATCTCCACCTCTGTGCGCAGCTCTGCTACACAGTTATGCTGTGATTGGTCACTGGAGAGCAGGGTGTGGCCGCAGCCATTGGGACACTCCCTGCTGCGGAAGTTGCATTCTGACAGGTGAGCTTCCAAACCCCGCCTCTCCACCTGCACAGGGCAACCTGACAGGACATGAAGCAACCAGTTTATATGTAAATGCATACACCAGGAAGACAATCTCTCAAAACATTTTACTAAAGGACATTTAAAGGAGCCTTCAGTGACATTCTGAGCACATCTATGATTCAGAGTCTTAAGGCTATTAAATCAACACTGGAGCATTGTCTATTACCCCATGGCAGCTATGGGGTATGACACGTGCAGTTTAACTGGAGCTGTTGAAGGGTTACAGCAGACAGCGCTAAAAATAAAGGCATAGTGTCCACACAGACCCGGGGTCTCGTCTATAAAACAATGTGTAGGATCCATACTGAAGATGTACTCACGGACAAAAGCCAAAAATGGCGTGCACCAAAATATGTTTGCCAGTTTCTACAATCAGGCTTTCTCCTCACCATCTGCATTGTTAGTTTCCTGTCTCTAAAATGTTTGTAAGAATGGGTCTTCCACTTCTGTTACGCATTTAATGCTATTCGACTTCTGGGTCAAAGCCCAGGGTGGAAAATGTGGAGCATGCGCAGAGCGTCGAGGCCAGTTTGGGTCAGATTGACTGTATAAAGGAGTAATTTGGACTAACACAATTAATGGATTTTCTCTAATGTCATGTAAACATACTGACTGATATGATGCGATATTTAATAGTCTTGCAGAGTCTGGTCACACTTGCCTGCACATGGCTCTCAACATGGAGGTAGCCAAGCCGGCAGCTAGCCGCTAACGGTGCAAAATGTTTGAACAGTGCTAAAAACGGGAACAAGGCTGACAGAGCTAACAGTGTTAACCTCGGGGAAACTGGAGGGTGGGCGCTACGCCTCCACTACAGCGCCGTCCCATCATTGGCTAGGACGTGGTTATTAGTGGTATCCGCCATATGAGCGAGTGCAGAGTGGCAGCGATGAGCTAGCCAGTGGAATACACACACAGGGACTCACCTGCGTTCACATGCACGTGCCACCTGCCAGACTGTCTGCCACAGCAAACCACAGCTAAACTTGGATTACAACACACACAAATTGAGTGTGACTTCATTCTCTGCTCAGGACACCATCACTCCACTATGTCTTTAAATAGCAAATTGACATGTGCAACTAGATTAATGTTTGAATGTCATATAGAGCTACTTTAATATTACAAATTATTTGTGTTGAAAGTTATTGTAAGTAAATAACTTAATTTTGAAGACAGGTCAGATCTGGTCATACATGCAATACAAAGATGCCCAAACAATCATCTTCATTTCAGTAGTGCTTTCAAACATTGAACCCATTGTGTCTTTGTGAGAAAGCCGTCTCAGATGACCTTACAAGGTCGAAAGGTCTCATTTCATTGCAAATGTAAATGTAGTATGCTCCTGATTTTGTGACAACATTGTGTAACATGATGAATCCTAAAAAAAATCTACTTTTTACTTTGTTGAAGTGAAGGTAGAATTACCAATTTTACAATGCACTTAAAACAGCAGAAGTTAAGGAAAAGGGTGTTGTATAAAAATAATTGTTTTCCATCCCTGAGGATATAGGTTAGATCACCCTAACTTTCACACTCCTCGCTACACTTATGCCTCATTATAGATTAGATTTAATAACTTCTCACAGATCACAGCAGTCATAGACAGCAACAGAAACACCAGGATGAATCCTGTGTAAAACTCGATGTTGCTGTAAGTGCATGTTAACACTGCAAACAGCCACACTGCATGCACACACTCTGTAACTATACCTACCACAGTGGTAACATATGTACTCTCCACCTGCCAATGACAGGTCACAGACACATTGTCAGCACAAGAACACATGCTTGTATATACATGCACACTTTTCTCATTAAAGAGTGATGGAAAGTTGACCCTGAATGCACTCTGTGTGAGGTCTGTGGGAGCTGCACGAGTCCCATAGGTGCACTCGTTTGGGAGGTAGCCATGACAACTAAAGAGCCACCTGTTGCTCTCCCCAACACACACATAGGTGTCACATTACCTTTATATCCCACATCCACATGAATAACAGTTTAAGAACTATAAAACATAACATAAACATAACAAATGACACATTAGAAGAGCTCAGTGTGAGGTTTCATACCTGTGTTGGAGCACGACACAAAGGCAAACTCACACTCATCCTCATGTGTGTGCAAGCTCTCCAGAGAGCAGACCACCTCGCAACCCTGCCCTGCGTTCACACAACGTATCTGCAGACGGTTCAGGTCATTACGCATGTACCTGTGACCAGAAACAGCATCAGAGAAATGAGGCTGAGCACAGAGAGCAGCATTCATGTGTGACACCATGGAATAGAGAGAGGTTGTAAAACTTAAAGAGAAACTTCACCCATTTACAAAATTCATACATATTACTCCTATGGTTTTAGACGGTAAAAAATCATTAGTAAACAAACAACTCTCTGAGTAGCGCAGGTGAATGTTCTGAGTACAGGTACATTTTCTGTTTCAGAACTGATAAAACTACAACAGAGTAAAGCTGATTTGGGTATAAATTAAAGAAAACAAACAGGCTCTGATTCATTGTCTATAGAGCATCTTCAGACTTTATACTTGATGACATCATAAGTTTGAGGCTTACTTCTCTGGTTTCTGACTTTAAGAGCAAGAAGGTCATGTTCACAACTATTACTTTTTTAGGCCATGGAAATAACATTGGCATTCTTAATTTAGGTGGTGTTCCCCTTTAAAAGTAAACATTTACAATTTTTTCTATGATAATAAAAGACACACGTGCAGAGACGGACCTGTACAGTGGCTTGAGACTGCCCACATCCAGTGGAAGTCTGTCCTCGGGACAGGAGGGGTGATGGACCAGCCAGCTGCTGATGCATGCGCTGCAGTAGGCGTGTTCGCAGGGTGCCTGGAGGGGGCGCTCCAACACGTCTCGACACACACAGCACAGAAGACCCTCATTCACATAGCCCACAAACCTCTCCAGATCATAGCCCATCCTACAACCACAAAATTAAACGTGATGCAAGTTAAGGGAACAAAACTTCAATCTTGCCACAGTGCTGGCTCATTTTCTTCTTCTCTGATAATAATATTCCTACCTGACAAAATAACTTTCACTTCATCCAACTCTTCTTCTTTCCTTCTGTTGATTTCCACTTGTTCCCCCACAGGTGACCTCCCCTCTTATCTCTGCACTTCTGCTACAGTCTTTCCGCCTTCATCCTCTCTCTTGACTTGTTGCTCCATCAAGGTGAGGGTCTCCTTTCCCTGAAAGCCCTCCCCTACCTCTGGGACTGCGTCTCCATGGAGAGGTATCCCTGACAACCAGGGTTCGGGACACAGGCAGGCAGCTGTCAGACGAGATCAGATCAGATCAGAGAGACAGACAGAATTACAGGAGGAGAGACGCTCAATAAAACAGGCAAATTCTGCAGTAGTGTTGTTTTCCTCACCGCCTCACCAGTAAAGCTAAAGGTTGCGGTGCCTTCAGAGATTACTGCTGTCCTTCAACTGTTTTAATGACCCATCCTATCTGAGGTTTCTCTCTCGCTCTCTGGATGTGGGATTAACATGGATTACACTCTCTCTCTCTCTCTGCCTGATTGGATTACAGACTGCACAACGTCAGATGACACAAACTGTCAGAACACAAAATTCAAAGAGCAACCCAAACCCCTGGACTCATCCCAGTCCTTTTTATGTTCTTTGAACTTACATTTCTGTCACGCTCAGTGGTGGAAGAACTATTCAAATGCTTTTCTTAAGTTTAAAAAAAGACTAATACCACATGATGTAAAAATACTCCATTACAAGTAAAACCTGTAAAGAATGTGTCTTTCCAGCAAAATGTAGACTACTCTGTGTATCAAAAGTTAAAATACATATCATGCATCAGTGTGACACCATAATCTATGACCTAGCCCCTAAATCATATCCCTTACCACTTAACAACTCACACAATTTAAAGATTTTAAAGATTAACTGAGCCACAGAATCTGATGGGTCACAGATTTTAGTGCATGTAAAAAGGCTCCTGTCAGTGTTATATAATGAAATGTATTGGTTTGTAATTACCCATCCATTAACATAAAGGCTACATTTAAATATTTTTGCTTGTCATAGTGTAATAGAGTAAAGCTAACATATTTTTATACTGCCTATATGTTCATTATATGTGTTATTCTTTAAAGTAGCCCATTATATTTGTCAAATGAGTGTAGTAGAAGAAATGTGTAACATTTCAGTCTGAAATTAAAGTATGCATAATTTTAAATACTCAAATAAGGTACAAGTATCTCAGAATTGTACTTAAGTACAGTTCTGGTGTATTAACATCAGTTACTAGTTCATTTTAATTAGTTTAAATCAACTAAATGGTCTGACGACAAGGTGACCTATATGATTCATATGCTGTAATTAACTTCATGCAGGGTAAAAACATTGTTTTTCCGAGGAAGTATTCCTTTTAATGCACATGTAGTGTGTGTATTGTAACATACAAATGTGGATGTATAGTATTAGGTCAATACTTGCTCTAATATTACAGTTATGGAGCATCATCAGGTAATCAGAACAAAATTTAGCCCCAAACCTTATCAACTGAGATCATGAAAATGCATATATGTTAATTATTGCGTTTTTATTATGTGAGTTGTTTTGTGTACAGTCACAAATGTGAAGTTGGGGACCTCAGGAAGAATAGCTGCTGCAATGCAGTAGCTAATGGGGAGCTTAATAAACTAAATTAAAATAAACAATAAATTCATGACAACATCAAAGCAGGCGGTAGGTACAAGATAAAAGAGACTATACTACAGGATAAAATCAATAATATGCACATAAATATTGATAAATATTACTAGAAGCGTCATATTTTATTGTCCTGCTGTTATTAAAGTGGTGAACTGAGGTCACCACATATAGGTACCGGGTGTGCTCGATTTATTACTCAGGGACTGACGGGTTGCGGGAATTCAATAGGGATGTGAAAAGTACTACCACTGCGGTGTTATAAATCAAACGCACCCCACTTGTTTTGAACACGCCCACTTTCGGAGTTCAACCAATCACGTTCTTCAAATCATCCAGCGGGAGAACCTGAACAGAATCAAGAGTTTTAGGAAGAAAAGATAAAACGAATATATTTCGTTTGAATTCAGCGACATTTTGCGATATTATATGTTGTCGTGATACCTTTAAGTCGTCCCGGTATGTATGACACGTCGTTACACGTCATAAAAAACGACATTACGGACGAGTTTCAACCGGGTTAGCGATGTTTGCAGCTAGTTAACGTTAGCTAGCTTGCTAACATGCAGTGGATGCAACAGGTTAATGTAACGTTAGCCAAATCATCCTCTCTCTTAATTCGTCACCAGAGCTGCAATGGTCGATTAATTTCATGATAGAACAGTTTAACTCTTACTTTCACGTGTTTTTTCCTTTATCTTGATAGCCCTCAAATCATTTTTTTGATTGCGCTAATGAAATGTTGCATGTCCATCACATGCAACCAGAGTCAAAGTGGTGTCTTCATGTAACTAACATTACAGACATGACAGAAACCTGTTGTAAAGTTGTATTAATGTAGACACAGTTTTTGGTATATGTGTCTGCTACGTTGTTAAAGTGATTCATTGTGTATAAAATCTTTAATGATTTAGTTTATCATGATATAAGTATCATGGGGTCTGTGTTCTCTCTGTCCAAGCTGGTCTAAATTTAAACACCAAATGTTGGTAACTAAACCTTCCTGTTTCAAACAAGGGCATCCACACTAAACTACTTAAAGCAGGGGTGTCAAACTCCTTTTAGTTCAGGGGCCTCATACAGCCCAGTTTGATCTCTAGTGGGCTGGACCAGTAAAACCATTACATAATAACTAACAACTTTCATCCAAAGAAGTACATTCTGAAAACGTCTATCTGTTTACAAAACAAGTGATGAACAGCCTGCTATATCCACAGAAAAATGTGCAAATTCAACAGTTTGTCCACACTCAGTCAGTCTACCACTCACTTTCACGACGTGACGTTTTTCATTATTTTCCACCAGAGTGGGAGCTATTAAAGAAGCAGGTTAAGTCATCTCCTGCCTTATAAACCATTTAGTCTGAGGTTTTGTCTGTGCCTCAGCAACAGGTTTCCACCCACACTGTTTTAAGATAGAAGTCTGATACAGATTCTTTTGCAGTGAAGCTGCTGGTTGACAATATTTTCAAATGTTCAATATGTTTAAATACAACCACAGTAAGTATTCATTGTTCTTTAAGAGAACTGTGTTCTGGTCGGGGTGGAAAAGCCTCTGAGGCAGCATTTTACATTAAGTATCTACTCACTGTTTGAACCTGACACCTCTTAGCCTTCACGGGTGCATCAATATCAGGTGTGCAAATTCACCCAGTGGGCCAGATTGAACCCTTTGCCAGGCCGGTTCTGGCCCCTGGGCCATATGTTTTATCAACCCTGACTTAAATAATAAATTGAGATAGGTGGGGATGGACCATAAAGACAGTCTCCCTCACACATTTGCTGGTGAATGTATATTCTGGCAAAAAGAACAAAACAAAAAAAACTCTCATTTTGTCATAGTTTTGAAAAATCCTGGGGTGTTACTGCCCCACTGCATCAGTTGACAGCATAATATACTGAATAGGACCTAAGTAGTTGCCAGTATTAGGTTAATTGTTGTGTTGTATTAATTGCTTTTAGGATATAGATTATTGTGGATAGCAGAATGCGACGCTCAGGAGCTCCCAGCCAGCTCTTGGGCAATGCTGTGAAAAAGCCTCGGTTTGTGCCCCCTGGAGCGTCTACTTCACGTCCTGTGGCTGAATCCAAGCCCCTTACCCCTAAACCTGGTTTAGGCAATGCACTGGAAAAGGTAAATTATTCACATAATTTAACCTTCAGGATGATCTCGCAGTATTCTTTTGATTCTTATCATCCAACTTCTTCAGATTATGAATCCTCTCTTCTTCACATCCTGCAGGTCCAGAGAAGTTTAGCAGCACCAGCTCCGAGAAAAACAGAGTGTGATGTCCAGCCCAAAGCTGCCCAGCCTGCTCCGGCCTTGTCAAGGGCTCTGGCTCGTGTTCTTAGTGCAGCGGAAAGTAAGGAGAATAAGGCTGAGGCAGAAGATCATACCACTGGCTTGGAAGAGACCACAGAAGACAACAGACCAGCAGGTAAGACACAAAGATTTGTGGCTGGGACAGTACCTGTTATGGGCAAGGATAGTCATGTGGCGATTGTGCAACAAAAAACCTCACTGGGATAGGCGTTAATTAGAAACATACAACATTGTGGTAAAAAGACATATACAATACTGTTATACGTGTATTTATGCACATACAACACAGTTAAACAACATGAGTGGATAAAATCCAAATAGATGATACAGGTACAGTAAAAATAAAGTAATTAGATAAAAGTAGCATCATTGTAGACATTACTGTTCTCAATAAACCATCTCTAATTGATCGTGGTACTAAATTCCATTGATGAGATGCTCTAAAGGAGAAGACAACCTGGCTAAATGCAGTTTTTTCTGAGTGGGATTGTGATAATATTGCTAATATCATAGGCATGGTTGTAGTGAAGGAAAAAGTCAACCAGAATCTGGAAGATCGCTGATGGAAAAAGGTTATAAGGTAAAAGGTTCACAGCTTATAAATTCTCTGCCCCCATATATATGTATATATATATATATATATATATATATATATATACAATTTTTCTTTTTTAAGGTTATTTACAATGAATGTAAATGAAAATTGATTAAGAAATACCTCAGTATACAACATAATACAAGGTAATTAAAACATTTGACTGACGCTGTCTCTTCTCAGTCATGTCAGATGTCAGCCTTCCTTATTTCAATGTTTATTATATACCACAAAGATCTAGCAGCTTGCAGAGCATTAGCTGACACTAGTTTACCAGGTTCACTGATGGAAAATAATATCAAATGATCAAAATGATGGGAACATGATTTTGAATCCTCTGCCTGCATCTCTTGTTCAGAGGCAAATTATTGCGAAACACCTGCGACTTCCTGTGCAGGTTTGGTTGCAAAATCTTTTATCAGGTGATGCACATGAAACTAGTTGCCTTTTCAGCGGCAGCATGTAGTCTGCTTTAACTCACAACACCTGTAAGCTTAAACACAGCACCCAGTCCAGCTCTCTCCGCGTAATTTTAGTCTTACAAATATTAATATATGATATTAAACATGACCTATACCATCATAACGACACAGGGTCGATGCTTTCAGTTGATTTAACTACACGATAATTACGCACCGGCGTGCAGATCAATCAGTACAGCTGTGCTTCAGTCCTTTCTACATGAAAAACCGTGTGCAACGCCTTAAGTCACAGCGCTCTCTTATTCCGCAGTGCCCCACTGTCTCGTCTCTGTGGCTAATAATAACACCCACACACACATGCACACACATGCTGATGTTAAACCAGGCGTGCTGAAGCTGAGTGACAGCAGGTCCAGCATTATGCAAATTAGCGGGGTAGTGCAGCGGCAGCGCCGGGCAGATTAGGACTGTGCTCAGGATCAGTGAGCCACCGCTCCCTCCTCCTGCAAGAGCAACTAGTGCCGCTGTTTTCCACCCTGTACACGCGCGGCTTACACTCCCGGCACGGTTTCCACACGCGCCCTGAACACGTGTCTCAATCATGCGAGTCCCTGTTTCTGGTTTATTTTACGCACTCGGCATTAGATGGATATAAACGATCTGTGTGTGCGGGCATGCGCAGCGCGCTCACAAACCCCTCCCCCCTTCAGTTAGTTAAGCCAGCGTTATCTCTCACTTTTGGAAAATAGACCCGTGACCCGTAATAACCTGTAATACACTGTTTAAAGACTGTTTCCCTCATTTGTGCAGGGCACAGAGGCGCTGCTGCTGCCCTGCCTGTGTTGTAATGTGGAGGCAGTGTGGCTGTGCTGTGCTCTGTGCTGTGCTTGGTTTGGGGTTTAGAGAGACCGAGCTGTAAGTAGGTCGGGCTGGGCTTAAGCGGCTTAGCTACGTCAGCCTAAGCTGGGAGGAATTCATCCAAAGCCCTCCGCGGTAGGCGGGGGCCTAAACGAGGCTGGCCTAGTTAAGCCTGATTCTTATTGTGTGCAGCACAGCCTGTTTTTGTTGTGCAACGTGGCTGAGAAGGAACCTACGAGTAGTGTATGAGTCCATGCACATGTTAGACATCGCTTATGTTTGATCTAGAAGAAGACTAGAAGGAAAATGGGAAATACATGGGAGTAAGACCACTGTGAGCTTTATCACGGTGGACCAAGAGAAGCCGGCAGCAGGGACACAAAAAGACAGGTGGAAAGAGTGAGGAGCCTTAGTCCTGAGTGCGGCTGCTGGAGGGTGACCGCCATAGGCCTGACTTGGTCTGTGTGAGTCCGCTATGCTATAAGATGGCATCCAGCTCTGTGTTTCTGTCCAGTATGGTGGGTAAAGCTCGCTCCTCCAACTTCACCCTCTCTGAGAAGCTGGACCTGTTGAAGCTGGTCCGTCCGCACATCCGCATCCTGGAGGAGCACACCAACAAGCATGCAGTCATTGTGGACAAGAACAAGTGCTGGGACACTGTCGCTGAGCAGTACAACGCATTGGGAGGGGACCGACCCCATCGCACCGCTCAGGGCCTCAGGACCCTCTACAAGAGGCTGAAGGAGTCGGCCAAGCAGGAAGTGATGCAGCGGAGACACGCCCAGCCGGAGTACAGAGCCAGCATCTCAGAGCCAACCAGGAGAATTATGGAGATGATCCCTCACCTGTTTCACCATGTGCCCATCCATGAGAAGGACCAGGCACTGCGCAGGTACAGTCTGATTTGCACCCACGAGCACAAACACGCGTTTTAATGCAGTCCTGAAGGAACAGGTGAGGGTTTAGCAAGCACATACATCATTAACAGTATGTGGTCACAATACTGATTCAACTCTTAGCGGAGGAAGGAAGGGAGGGGTTGAACTCACAGCTCCAAAAACCAATCAGATTACACTCTCTGTACATCATCAGGCTCAACAGGAATATAAAGTTTGTCCTGCCGTTATTATTTAGATGGATAATACTCAACTGCTTTATTAATATTGATTAATCTGCCAATTTAGTTTCAGGTTAATCATAGTGTTTTTTTCTTTTTTACATTTAATTTAATTGCCAATCTCAAATGGAGCCCCAAAATAAATTTTTGAACTTGGTCCACTACTACAGAGAGTAAGGGAAATAAGGCTAGGTAGAATATATCAATATTGACTCAGGAGAAGATGCAGAAGCCAACAAACACTTGAATAATTTAGTGTCATTTTACTGGGCAACTGTTGTTTTTTATAGATAAATACCTGCCCAAGAACACATATTGCAGATTAATTAAGTATGCATAATTATGTGTAATAGCAAGGGCATCGTATTCTCTGTAAGGCTGTAGTGAGCACAGGTTTGTTATTTTTACTTTGGTGAGTCACTTAATTTCCTCTCGTCTACTCTGATTAGTCAACTGACCCTTTGATTGATTAATTTAGTGTGCATCGTCACCGACAGAGGTCTCCACACACCCCACATAAACTCAATAAACGCTGTTTAAGCACTCCAGTTTCACTTGTTTTTATCCTTCATTCCATTTGTAGATTAATATACAGCAAGCACAACTCTCCTGTAGAGCATCCTGGCAGCAGCTCCTCTCTGGCCGGACTCCAGGATTACTCAGCAGCTGTCCCAAGTATCCCCCATGAGGTGGTCCAGCTGGACCCTGAAGAGGATGTTAAACCACCGCCAGATCTCCCCATCCTCGCCACACACACAGGGCCAGGGCTGGACGGAGGCCAGGAGCGGGAGGGGGAGCAGGACTTGGGCAGCGTCCACGATTACGAAGCATCCCTGTCTCCCGTCCCTTCGTCTGTTAATATCCCCCTCTCCACTTCACCGCTGCCCTTACGCCACGACCTCTACCCCAACGACATCTACCCCCACCACGAGCCCGACAGGTTTCGCCCTCTGCACCTGGCCAAAGAGGAGCACGAGCTGGTGTTAGCCAATCACAGGAAGGTTGCCATGTACCTGGAGGAGAAAAGGGAGGGGCTGAAGAGGAAGCAGGACCTGGAGGAGGAACTTCTGAGAGCCAAGATCAAAGTGGAGAAACTAAAGGCTGCGCGTCTGAGACACGGACTGCCAATTCCTCTATAACAAGCATGAACACGCACATTTGTGTCCAGTGTTAGAAAGGGAGAGGCTCTGAGGAGCAATCAAACTCATCTGTTTTTTAGAACTGTGTCAGAACTTGAATTTCTTTTGGAAACATAGTGCCTCGTACAGATGCTGAAAGCCTGTTTGCATATTGCAGGGAAAGGCTGACTCGTGTTGCCATTGGTCTGTGTTTATGCTTGTCGGTGTTAAAAATGTATCATCATTCTAGTACTCATTGGCAGAAGCAGTAACATAACTTGTATGTGCTCACATTACAAACACTGGCAGGCCGGTATAGGTAAAATAAATGGGAAGGTCCGGGTTCTAGAAGGGAATATTGGTAGTTGTGAACTGAGTGAACCATTTCATGATGGAGCTGTTCTTGTCTAGATCTGCCACCAGTATGTATCAATAGGAATTTTAGCGTAGTGTTTAAGGGTGTTTGTTTAAGGGAAAGCTTTGTATTTTTTTTTTTTAAACCTGGACCCTATGTTTTTGTGTCTAAGCGGCAAATGGAGACAACAATATTTGAAATTTGTCCAGCATTGAAAGAGACTGCTGCAATGTAATTCCTGCGGGCAATTGTGCACCGACAATTTCTTTATGTTTAAAGTGCTTGATAGGTCTGATAGGCTCAGACTGTTATTATAAGTGTCTGATGACATGTTGAAAAAGACCCAACAGAGAAGTGAATTGTTTTTCTGCACCTTTCACTGGTCCGGTCTGTTTGTTAGTGTGTGTAACCAAGTCTAGCTCGTTCTGAAATCTCATAAACTTCTCCACATTGTTCGAATCAGCTACATGTAACACAACAAACTCTTCCTGGCACCTCTCTCACCAACTCTCACTAACGTCTCCACTGTTGTTTTTCCTGCAACAAGTTGCCTCTTGCTAGATTTCAGAACAAGACTTCTCCTTGAGCAAGACTTAGTCACAATAACAAACAGACCAGTGAAAGGTAAGAAAAAATGTTGCATTGCTTCCTTATTGTAATGTTGTCAGACACTTATAACAACAATCTGAGGCTGTCAGTGCCAAAAACAAGCACTTTTATTGGATGTAAATTGACAGTGCCGCTACAGCTGCAGCCGTGTCTCTCTCAATACTCGACCAATTTCAAGAATTGTTGTTCCCTCGAGTAACTCAGACACAAAAACACAGAAAAACAGAGTCCAGGTTTAAAAATACCAAAGTTTCCATTTAATGATCTTATTAGAAAAATTCCAGCAACAGTGATTTACTGGAGTGTCACAAGTGCAAGAGTCTGCCGACATATCAGGGGGATAGTGAAGCGCTTGATGCATTTTTTTTGTAAAGAAAATTTCCTCTTGATGTGACATCTATTAGAATACATTGTGACAAATTATAAAGGCATTTCCTTGTAGCACTTTCAAGTAACCAAACTGAATGCTTATTCAAAATTCTGTTGGTTATCAGTTACTCTAAACAGTCTGTTTTAGACCTGAGAGATGTTCAGATATCCAGGACTGAAGCGCAAGTTAAACTGCCGGAGGCCTTAAACTCAAGATGTTAATGATGACCAACCTTGTTCTGTGAATTGCGGAATTTACATGAAAGTGAGAGAAATCTGTTCAAGTCAGAAGTTCTCTGTGGTTGCTGAACTGCTGGCTGTGTGATGTGATCAACAGAGGGGAGATGTGGAATTGGTTTTGCGATGTTACTGTTATTTAAAGTGTGTGACTACAACATTGATTGTATTGTAATGTTGGTATACAAGTGTTGTCAGTTTCTTTTACACTCTGTCCATATGTCCACTCATTTCCATTAAAAAAAGTGAGGTTAACATTCTACTGGCTGGTTTCGTGTTCATTACATGTCAAACAGGCATCTGCTCTCATGATGATATGATTTTTGTTAACTGGGTTTACATATATTTATCATTGTTACCATTTTTATAAGCAAAGGAATACATGATCAAGGGTTGTTGCGTCTCGTCTCATCTGAAGTGTGAACATCTGGTACGATGTGACGCCTCAGTGCAACAGTGACCTCTGCTGGTGAGTTGTGTCTCAGATATTTCTAGTGGTTTTTCACCTCGTTTTATGTCTTTGTGTTTCAGGAAGGAACGGTTGCCCTCAGTTGACTCCTGGCTCTTCTCAACCCCCCCAGCCTCCAGTGGGGTCTGTGTGTGTTTCTGGAGCTGCAGGCTCAGACTCTGGCTGCAGTCAGGACGGAGTGCGTTACTTCAGTGTGGTGTGGTGTAAAGCCAGTAAGAAGAAACACAAGCGATGGGAGGGCGATGCCGTCCTGCTTACAAGAGGACGCACAGCCACACTGAAAGATATGGAGGGCAAGGACATTGGCAAGGGTGAGACAGAGACACACCCCAGTTTACATTTAGTCTTTTGCTTATTGTCATGTTTTAATGCAAGTGAACGCAGCCCAGGCGGCCTCTGAAATTTAAGTAAATCTTCAACATGAGTCAGTTATAGTACTGATTTAAAGTGAAAGATTTTGCTTGAAGTTATGATAATAAATTTAATGGCTAATGACACAATCAGCGTTTAGATTGGTTTCCTACAAATCTCGCTTACACTGTGCAGTTCCGGGGGAATTGTCTCTTCTCAATTTTACCAAGTTTTCTGGTGCACGTGTAACCACACCAAACAGAGATGTTTGAATATCATGACTACATCTTGAGTACACTTCTTTACTGCTGCACAAAGGCAGTTGGCCACTTGGGGAAAATGGAAACAACCTCTGAATGCTGACATAACATTTTAGTAGATGTAGCGAGCACTTTAAACCCCTGGAGATCATTTTTCTCAGTATACACAGTCATGAGTTCAGTGGGTATGCTTGTGCGTGATTGTGTGCAGGAAGTGGTTACAAAGTGTCCCAGCTGGCCTCCCTGTCCGAGGGAGAGACCCTGATGATCGGAGGGAAGGAGGTGGAGGTGATGGGGGTCATTTCTGCGGAGGACTTCGCCAGAGGACGTTGTTTTCAAGAGGTTCAGGTAGAGAAAGAGGAGCTGCAAACAAAGGCAGCTCCACCTCCTGCTCGTCGCTTGGCGTCCAAACCCTTCTGCCCCCCTACGCTGCTGGGGAGAGCAGATCATCCAGGAGCCAAATCAGAGGAGGAACAGACCTGCAGACCTCGCCATGACCCACTGGCTCCAGGTACGTAGAACTCTAAAAGATATGTCATGATTGTTATTTTTGACACTTTGTGGCATCTTTTGGTTTGTGAGAACACTTCTCACATTGTGTATGTACATACTCAGGATCTCTGGGTGTTTTCCAGGTGCACTGGTGATGCCTCGTCCCTCCGCGAATCACCAGTGGTCTAATAACAAGTCAGGGCTTCCTGTGGTTGATGTTGTCGTCGACCCGTACCTGACGACTCAGCTGCGACCCCACCAGAGAGACGGCCTGCTGTTTCTCTATGAGTGTGTCATGGGCATGAGGTAATGGAGCCTGTTCCTGTGACATTCTCTCTGATGCTGTTTAGACATGAATCTGTTTCAGCCTCACAGCGGAAGAAGTTACCACAGCCATTATAGGGATGTACCCAAATCTAGGTACGTTATTTGGGAAAGCACAAGTAATGCAATAGAATCAGACATTTATTTAAGTTGCTTGCTATTATTCGGGGGGGAATATGTCTCATCAAATCGATTCATGTCATTATGGATGGCCACAAGATAGAAATGCAGCATAGGACTAGTACTGACAATGACGATATCCCAGAAAGTGAAGTACATTGTTCTGTGCCTCTCAGCAATCAGCATATGGCAAAAGATGATCCCAAAATATTACAAACTAAGCATTTAGGAAATGTCACGTGGCTCTAGGCCTAGTTTGCTTCCACTCAGAAGGTTATTGACCTTCTAACAAAGTTTGTTTAAGTGTAGATAATTTAGGAAAGGGCTCCAGATCTTAAGAAATGAGTCCTCATCATCTCTAAGGATGGCACTTATTCTTTCATGAGGTAAGGCACTAAAAATCCTCCTGTGCCAGACTGTTACTGTGGGTGGAGTATCTTTGATCCATTTCAACAGGATGCATTTACAAGCAAAGAGCAAAAGATTGTCTAGTAATCTATAACAATTATGGGGGAGTGCTACTTCTTTAGAGGTCAAACTAGAAATAGCCCTGGATTCTTTCTTATTGTGGTCCTAAAGATCCTGCATAACTCACGAGCTATGTGAGTCCAGTATCTAGCGATCAAAAAGTAGTGGAAAAGAGTTTCCAGGTCTGTTTTACACTTTCAGAAAATGGGAGAGATAATGGTCACTATATTCTGATTGCCTGAGTGGGAGGAGGCGTTATGTGCTGGAGCAACCGTCACAAATCATACACTGAAATAAGCTTAGAACCTGTAGTTTTTAGCTGTATGTGTTTTTTTTTTAATTTAAAATACCCAGTCGCAATATCAACCAACAAAAAAGCCATTTTACTTTGTGTCTCAGTCAATATTCATCTGTTATACCATGCTGTATGTTTCAGCCAAATTTAAGGGAATTTTAGCTTAGTGTCCACTAACACCCAGTATTTCATGGTTACTTTAAACAGATGGAAATAAAAAGAGCTGGTAAGTAAATGTGGCACGATGAAAGTCCTCCAAAATAAGTAAAAGTAGTCCTTTGTAAAACGTCAGTCTTAAAAAAATTAAAACCTTTTTATTTATTCAACTGTACTGACACGTTTATGTATTCAGATATAGATTTATTTATATATGTATATATTTATTTTCTCAGTTATTAATTTAAGGAGGTTTTTCAAAGGCACACAGACACATAGACAGCTCATAAAAAATTGTTTAGTTAGAAATAAAAAAAAATAAGTGAGACTGAGATAAAAAAGTATAATATGAGGGTGTGTAAATATATTTCATAATTATATGCTATTATGAAATCAAGGGCACAAATGTTTGCACTGCGAATGAATATTAGGTTAGAAAATATAACATTTGCCTGAATTAACTTGACGACTGTTACAAACCACACCCACTTTTGGTCTTCTATCCAAATACAGATACAGATGGACATGCACATGCACCTCTAAGCCATGATCAAGATTCCTACATTGGTGTGTTTTATTGTTTGTGCTTCAGAGCTGTAGGTCGCTACGGGGCTATCCTGGCTGACGAGATGGGTCTGGGGAAGACCCTCCAGAGCGTGGCACTGTCCTGGACGTTGCTTAAACAAGGACCTTACGGTGGAAAACCCGTCGCTAAGCGTGTCCTTGTGGTCACCCCTGGCAGCCTAGTGCACAACTGGGGCGCAGAGTTTAACAAGTGGCTGGGCCGTGAGAGGATCAGCGTTTTCACTGTGGATCAGGTGAGAAGAGGTGGAGAAATTCTTTCTTATAGAGAGAGTCACTTTACAAGGAGCTCAAGCAGCATGATTGTAGCATAAATAGAAAGATCTCTGTTAGCTAAAAGTTTCAGGCTCAGTATTTCAGGCTCACAGCAAAAGAAGGTGACAAGAATTTTTCCTAGTCTAGCGTCTTTTTGTAAAGCACTTTAAAGTATCAGATTCATTCATTTACCTTAATCTAGAATGCAATAAGTCATTAATATACGTACTGTGTTGACATAGGACCACAGGATAGAGCAGTTCGTGTTGTCCCCTCTGCACAGCGTTCTTGTGATAAGCTATGAAATGCTGCTGCGCTGCCTGGAACAGGTATGTTACCTTGTGTCTTGCTGTCAGATACTCATGTTACAAACAGATCAGCTTGTATTATCTTCTTGTTTTGCTACAGTATTATTTTCTTGTACTTTCAGGTGCAGAAAGTGGAGTTTGGTCTTGTAATTTGCGACGAAGGCCACAGATTAAAGAACAGCAACATCAAAACGTCCTCAGCCCTCAGCGGCTTGAGCTGTAGTCGCAGAGTCATACTAACAGGTACACTGACAGAGAAACATGGAGGCAAACTTTAAGGTGTTTCAAACTGAGAGCTGCACCTTTTTGTACAGGTTTTATAATAAATTATCTGTGTGTTTTGAAGGCACCCCAGTACAGAACGATCTGCAGGAGTTCTACGCTATTATAGAGTTTGTCAATCCAGGGATCCTTGGAACGTCCACCGCATATAGGAAAGTGTATGAGGAGCCAATTCTACACTCCAGACAGCCCTCCTGCACAGAGGTAGTGCCACCTCCGCCCCTCTTGCTTCCTCCTGTCTATGTAGTAATTTGTATATCAACAACTTAATCTGGCATTAAACCTGATCTGTCTCTGCTAACAGGAGGAGCGCGTTTTGGGAGAGGAGCGGGCAGCTGAGCTCTCTCGCCTGACTGGCATGTTCATCCTGAGACGGACACAAGAGATCATCAACTGCTACCTGCCTCCTCGCCTCGACTGGACATTGTTCTGCGACCTGTCCCCTCTGCAGCGAGAGCTGTACAAGCATCTCCTCTGCCACAGAGTCTTCAGAGCCTGCCTTCAGGGCTCCGTGCAAACGCACACACACCTGGCCTGCATCACTGCACTGAAGAAGCTGTGTAACCACCCTGGTCTGCTCCATTGCACTGTCAAGGTTAAGGTCTTTGTTAGTTGGTAGGGTAGTAAAACCTGCATCTGGCCTCTTAAAGGGATTGTTCAGATTTTTTTAAATGGGTTTGTATGAGGTACTTTAACTAAAACTATCAGTTTGGCCCAAACCCATTTCTTATTAATACCCCTACTGCTTTTGTTCAAGTGCCCCTTTGCCCCTTGGAATTCGTATTCGTATTCTGCATTTATGTTAGTGTTTACAGATCTACTACCAGTCTTCACTGTGAGCACTGTGCTCTGTTTTTTAGGAGAGAACAGACAGTGGTTCAGTGGAGAGCACTTTATACGAGGGCCTGGCTGAGCTCTTCCCAGAATCCTACTCTTCAGGTGGATTCAACACCGCTGACTCCGGAAAACTTCTGGTGCTGTCGGACCTGCTGGCCGCCATCAGACAAATCAGCCCTTCAGACAGGTGTGTGGATGAGTATGTGTATGTGTTTGCATTTTTGTCCATATATACTGACAAAGTATGTGTGCCCCTGCAGGGTAGTTGTAGTGTCCAACTATACGCAGACACTTGACTTGCTCCAGGACTTGTGTGTACACTTGGGTTACACCTTCTGCCGACTTGACGGACACACCCCCACCGGCCAGAGGCAGCGGCTTGTCGATGCTTTTAACAGCCCCTACTCTCAGAACTTCCTGTTTCTGCTGAGCTCCAAAGCAGGCGGGGTGGGGCTCAATCTGGTGGGTGCTTCCCACCTGGTGCTGTATGATATTGACTGGAACCCTGCTAATGACATTCAGGTGAGACACACACACTCAGACCTGCCAAAAAACATTTTCAGTCTGTAACACTGTTTTCTTTGTTTTCTGTCTCTTTTCGTTTTTCCTTTGAGAGGTATTAAAAACATCTTTAAAGTCATCAAATTTGTAATTAAAAAATGTGCAGCTACCCTGTAGTGTGCGCTCTGAAAGCAGACACATCACAGCATTTCTTGATAGTAGATATATGATTATAAAATCAGCTGCTGTTAATGAAGCCGTCTCACATAATCTGTATAAGCACTGTACTGTATACAGTATGTGTGCAAATTATTTGGTAACCATAATAACAAATACATGGGTGACCTTGTCAGTGGGGGATTTTCAATAGAAACTGAAAAGGAGTTAAACAGAGATGTGTTGTGTTTGTGTCATACTCGGTTTCTTTTGGCAGTTCATCAAAAAGTGATACGCCAGCCCGGTGATATTCTTGTAAAAGGCGCCTCTCGTGTCCTTGTTTTTTTTACCTGAGCTGATTGTCATCCTCAGAAAAAGTTGCAGTCCAGCAAAGCAGCACCCCATACTCTGTCACACTCACTTACATATCCACTAGATGGCAATGTGCACTTTTATGTAATTTTCCCCTACAACTTTTCCCTCTCTCCGTCCTGTGTCCAGGCTATGGCTCGAGTGTGGAGAGATGGACAGAAGAAGACTGTGCACATCTATCGCCTCCTCACTGCAGGTCAGAGAAAACACACAATGAGCCTGAATGTTCAGTACATCATGAACCAGACTGATGTGAAGCTTTATGTCCTGGTGTCTGTTACGTCCTCGCAGGGACTATCGAGGAGCGCATATTCCAGAGACAGGTGTCCAAACAGGGGCTCTCTGGGACAGTGGTTGACCTGGGCAAGAAGGCAGAACACACCAGTTTCTCCACCAGTGAACTGCGAGATCTTTTTAGCTTGACAGACACGCTGTCTCTAACACACGACCTGCTGAACTGCAGCTGCAGCATGGACGGCTCAGTCCAGGGTAGGCACATAGCTGACGCCCCACACCAGTGATGGAATGTAACTAAGTATATTTACATCAGTACTGTACTCAAGTACAAATTTGAGGTAGTTTTACTTGATTTAAGTACTTCAATTTTCTGCAACTTCAAACCTTTACTCCACCGGTAATTGTTGGAACAGCAGAAAAACAAACCAAGATGGCTTTTGTGAGTTTTACTTTGTTTCTGTCGACTTTAAATGAAGTGTGTTTTATGATGCTAAAATTATTCTTTATTTAAATGGAGCCTGGTGGCTTTGACGGTGACAACTTTAGGGCTGTTACTTTGCGGGTAAACAAAAGGGATCTTACTCTTAAGCAAAAAGATATATCTCTGTAGGGATCCTTTCCAAAATGTTGTCAGATACTTTAAATAACAATCTGAGCCTGTCAGTGGCAAAAATAAACACTTTTAGTGGCCGTAAATTGGTGGCGCAGAATTGCCCCAAGTGGTTACCTTGCAGCCTGTTTTGCTGCAGCTGTCTCTCTCAATACTGGACTAGTCTGAACATTGTTGATCCCAGAAGTGACTTAGACACAAAAATATGACAAAAACAGAGTCCAGGTTAAAAAAAACTGAACGTACACTTTAATAAAGCAGTAATATTAACCTTAAAACATCAGGGAACTGAACTGTCAGGGAACATTTTAATGCACATTTAATACTTTTACTTTAGATACTTTAATAACATTTTGCTGATAATACTCCTGTACTTTTAGTTAAGTAAGGTTTTAAATGCAGGACTTTTACATGTAGTTGGGTATTTTTACACTTTGGTATTAGAACTTTTACTGAAGTAAACAATCTGAATACTTCTTCCACTAAAGCCCCACATATACTGACACCAGTATTTGACTTAATTCCTCATATTGTCTTTCTTCATCCTCAGTTGTCATAGAGGAAGAGGAGCAGGTGTCTGATAGGCCTTGCCAGCTCGGTCGTCAAGGCGACCGCGGAGGGGCGCAACAGAAGCATCTCAGCATGTCCGAGCTGATGCAGTGGAGACATTTCTCTGGTGACACACACACCTTCTCAGACCCTTATCTTGATCTTGCACGAAACCACATCACCTTCGCCTTCCAGACCACCATCTCTCACACAGCTCCGTAAACAGAAGCGCACCAGATTGCACTCTCGATACAGATGACTCAAACACACACATATACACATATGTGTCTTCGTCTTCTACGTGTTTGTCTTCAGGCTTCTGGGCTTTGTCAGCAGTCTGGCTACATCATATTACAAAGCACTCAACAGTTGCTGCCAACAACAGCAATACGTGATGTTTGTGAGATTCTGTGTTTTGTTCTCGACATCTTCTTAATTTATTCAAGGAAATTTACTGTTAAACGTCATCAAATAAATGAAATTACAAAGGAATATGTGTAATAAAAAAGCTTTTAAGAAGTTAAACATTTGTTATTGACTGAAAAATTCTTCCTGGGGAAGGCAGAGCATTTTAGAGTCCCTGTGTGCACCTGGTAATAACGTGTCTTGGGTGATCGGATCATAGGTGGACAGCTCTACAAGCCTTTGCACACCAAGTCTGTTTTTCCATCCGAAATTGTCGCATGTTTAAAAATAAATAAGACCTCATGTTGTGTCAATCATGTTCACACACAGACCCAGGTTTGGGAAAAGATTCAATTTTTTTGCAGATTTTCCCATCCCTCAAAAACCTAGGCTGTGGTTTGACCTTGAAGCAGTTAAGAAAATGTGGCACACCCTGCAGGACAGATCTGCAAACAAGAGAGAGGAACAGGACACGCAGTATCATTTCATAACTCAGATGGCCTACTTTCAGCAGGTCAGATAGTAATATTCAGGTGGATGATGATGAGGAGGAGGAGGAGGATGTAATAGAGGATGAGAACCACACAAAGACAGAGAGGAAGTGACAGTGAAAGGGAGGACAGCTTACCCTCCTCAGGTAGCCGCAGTGTCAAATGCAATTGCAAGACAAGGGCAGAGAGTGGCATATTATTTCCCCTTTTCGAAAACCAAATGCGTTGTTTTTAACTGCTGGTTTTTTTTTTTTTTCTTTGCGCTACACACACTTACAGCCATTAACATTTAAAAGGCGCCTGTGTGTTCCCTGACAGTCTCTGTCATTAATCAACTTTTTATGCAATTTTTAAGCCCTTTTTAACCGTACACCTTTTAGATTGTGGTTGTTTTTATCTATGTCTTCTTAATGGACAAAGGACTTTAGTCATCGGACACTTGGATTTAAAGTTAACAGAGTAACCGCCTGACCCCTGCTATATGCCTGTGAGAGAAACCTCACCAGCGCAAACCCACCCACGCCTGATCTTGGGAGCGGGCCCAGTTTTTGGGCAAGAAGCTGCCAGCTGTAATCGAATTGTCTCACCTTATCATTTAACAATCAACAACACCATTTCTGCCGAGTTTTGTTTCTCCTCTTTCTTTCAGGCCTCTGTGATTTCTGCATCTGAATTGACAGTCACCTGATCAGTGTCAACACAGCTCCTCCATAAACTGTTTTACCCGGTTTTCAGTTCTCCTTTGAAACATTCTGCAAATAGTGGACATTTTTAAACAAGGGTTTTATTCACCGGACGTCTGGCTTTTAAATTATTGGAGAAATTAGCACACAAACCATGAAAGCAAACAAAAAGTTATCTGATGATGATAAAATCTCATTTTATTGATTGGCTTAGCCCTCCTTGCCCCGCTGTCATTCTGTTGCTCTCTTTATCATAAGACAGGTGCAACTCGTGGTCCCTCCGCCTATTGCTCTTTGCTGGGGGCAGTTGGTGAGAGTCCGCCTGCGCACACACAGTGACAGGGCTATTAGCATCACATGACGAATGCTTATTTACGGGTTTAATGATAAAGGAGAGCTGCTTTAGCGTCTGTGAGTTTGTTGGGATGTTTAACAGCTGCATCTATGTTAGCTGGTGCTCACAGGGCAGACATTGAACTAACCGTTCATGGATCCGGTAAGCGGAGGGCTTCAGGGACGGTCTGTCACTGCTGCAGCTGTTAGCAGCCAGCACAGGAAAGTTTGCTAATCTGGCGAGGAGTTGGCGATGATGTCAGTTGAGTAAGCGTCCCCTCAGTATGTCCCTGGGCACATTAGTGGACACACTGCTCAAATAATGCAGCCATATGCACATTGAGGACGTATTGGGTGCATTCACTCCTGTACTTAAAGCCGTCTGCTTTGATCCTATCAGCCAAGACTCAGGTTAATACCAGGTGTGAACAGGGCCTTAGATACACGTATGAATGATGCAAGCATGTAAGAGAGGTGCCCTGTGTCCATTAGCGTGACATTTATTTTGTTAATTAGAGGATTTATGTTGTTCTAGGACGTGTTTAGGTGACATAGAAGCTTTGGTGATGTGATGATAATGTGTACACAACTATCCATTGAAAATAATCTAGTTCATGGCTGTCTGTGCAGAAGGAGTGCCATTTAAAACAGAATTTCCTGAACACTTAAGGCAAACAAAGAAGTCTTTAGTCTGAGGTTTTTGTGCTACAAAGTCACAGTTTATTGAATGTAGTGACCACTTGTTCATGAAATGTCAGTGGGGGGTTTTGATGTGGGCCATAGTCCGATCTGTTACGTCTGTTATTTTGCATAATTCCGTTCTGTTCATGCTTTCCAACCACAAAGCTGCTGCGTGGGAGTTATGTAGTTGTGTGTTTGTGTGTGTGTGTGTTTGTGCGCCCTGAATTCACATATGACTTGTGTTCGGGTCTGTCAGATTGACGGAGGTCCAATACAATGCGTCTTTACATAAAAAGGGTAATTATTATTATTATTTATTGGATGTTCCCCACTCTGCGTGATTGTTAAGCAATGTTGTTGTATAATAAATGGGTCTGTGGGATGTTCAGCTTTTCCTTTATGCATATGACAGTTGTAGCTTTGTGGCCTGTCAGTGTATGTTTGGCGTGCTGGAGGCAGCGTGGCGATTATGCAGACACCTGCTGTTTCTCTGTGGCCACAGTGTGAATTTAAACTGTTGGTGCCTGTCAAACACCAGAATCAAAAGTTTACGTATTGCATATATTTATTATGTAGTCTGTGGAGACTGAGGACTCCAGTGAAGGCCTCCAGAAGCTCATCAGTTTGGGACAGTCAAAGAAGGCTAAGAATTAGGGGCGTAAATCACAAGTTTCATCACTGGACTATGTATCAGTTCTTTGGTCAATGGTATGGTATTTGCTGCCACGATTAGGGTTGGGTATTGCTTGTTTGTTTTGTTATTTTGTTTCTTTATTTTTTTCAATTTCAGTGCTAAAACAGTACCATTGCCTAAATCAGTGGTTCCCAACTGGTGGGTCGTGATCCAAAAGTGGGTTGCGGGTCCTAGTTCCACAACGAACTAGCTCAATGACATGACCAAATTCAAGTATGACACTGATTGTATTAAACTGTGTGGACCTTGAACTAATGACTAAGGAGAAATCTGGACCCTGTGGCTGGACCAGTTGGGAACCACTGACCTAAATGGTACCTGATACTTTTTGAGAAAATAAAGTACAAAACAACGGTCAAAAACATTAAGAACTGCCTTTTTGTTTAACTCAAACTAACTCTGTATTAACAAATTCTCATAGCAAAGTCCCATAATAAATAAAATCTGACCCTACAATCATTTAAATAACAGTTACAGTAATGATAACAGCAAAATTAATGTTGAGTTCAGATCAATGATTGTCCAGCTAACTCAGGAGAGACTCGGCAGTCAGGCATGTCTGCATTATCTGTTTAGGAGTGGCTGTTATTGTCAGCACCTTAACAGTCCACCTTAAGTGAGCCATGTCAGATTCCAATGGGAGGCTAACTTCGCTCGCCAACTTCAGGGCTAACCCCCTTCAAATTAATCAGAAGCTACAAACAGAAACTTAATATTTTTGTTCACCGACAAGTAGGGTTGAGAATCGTTAGGATTTTAACGATTCCGATTCCTTACCGATTCCTCTTACCGATTCCTACATTATATTCATTATACTTGCTATACTTAAACAAGTATATAATAAACACAAATGCAATCATACAAATACCAAAACTTTATTCTAACTGTTGCCCAGTACAATTAGATGAAAATACACATTTGTGTGTGGTGTGTATTTCAGATTTAGAGCTTGTATCATCTCCCTGAGAATAAATAACAACAAAAAGTGATTCTCTGATTTCTACAGTAACACTATTAAAATTAACCACAACAATGTAATAAAAAATACTTATATGCATTCATGCTTGGGCACTGTTATTTACGTGACAACACCTGAACATAACACACACAGACACACATTGGCTGTTTGTTTCTACCTCTCCTCTCGCTGGAAGCGGACCTCCCGCCGCTAGCCTCCGCCTTGATTAAATGCTAAAAATTAAATAAAAGAGGGAGACAGGTGTCTCCTGTTTTATCATATTTTGTTATATTTCTACCGCTCCCCTCGCTGGAAGCGTCAGACCTCCCACCGCCCGCTCCCATCGCCCGCTCCCGTCTCAACCATGGAGGTCTCTCTCCGCTGAGCACCTGGCGCACGCCCGGCCTGTTAAATAGCCTGTAACCATGACAACTGTGTGACACAAACTCAGTGCTTTAGTGATTAGATAATGTCGGGCTCGGTCGGGTTCGACAGAAATATGCCCGTGCCGCACTCTAATGGAAATGCACGTGACGGTTTATTTATTTATTTATTTATTTATTTTTTGTACAATCTAGGAACCGTTTGCAGGAACCATTACGCCAAATGTGATGGAACCGGTTCCGGAACCGGAACTTTGTACCCGGTTCCAAAAAAGAACCGATCCAGATCCCAACCCTACCGACAAGTAGCCTGAACTGTTCACACACTGCCCTGCTACGTTCAACTTCATACTCTCATCACCATGACATATACGTGATCTCACTAGCTACTCACACACACTCTGGCACTGAAATTTGAGTTGTGACTCAGTGTTTAGTTAACAGTCTTGTTACTAAACCCTAGCACAATATGGATTGCAATTCAATTCTGGGGCCTTCGATCAATATGAGACAATATCTGTTAATATCCTCATTGTCTTTTTCATGGCCGCTCACCATTTTTTGCCTGGTGCTCGGCCACTAGCACTGTTTGAATGTTTAGGAAGGAGGTGTGCTTGGACGTGAATGGTGACACAGACTTGCAGTGGGAATTTCAAAATAAAGGCATATCCTAAAGATGAGGATTTGTATCAGTGTTTTCAGTTTGCATTAATGATATTAGATCATTAATCATCAAATCGATACATCAATCAGATCAGTTTTAAGAAGCTCCAATAGCTGTTGAGGAATTTCAGTCTGGACCAAATTGGTGGACCAACATTTCCTCTAGCATTGCTAAAAATGATCTGTAACTTTACAATAACAAGAAGTCCATGTTTGAGCCTCA